GTTACAATCACGAGCCCTAATACACACATATAGGGACTTCCTCTCCCCGATTTTCTTTACAAATTTTACTTAATATTAATCTATAAAGTAGTGAGAATGTAAAAAAAAAAAATATTAAAATATTATTATTGTATGACAAAAATTAGCGGATATGTTTCGTTATACTATTTGCTCAAAAAATAAATAAATAAAAAAACTGGATCGTATGACTAAAATCAAGTTATATCTTTCGTCGTATCTTTCTATTTGTGTTTTGTCATTACGAAAATCGCATCTTTCATGACATGTTCTGTTACCTTTGTATAAAAGCATACAGTACATAAGAATACGTTACCATTACCTATTCATTTTCTCTCTCAGTTATACAAAATAAATTAAATCGATCATTCATTAAATAATGCGTTGTTCTCTCTCTTATTAATTGTGCATTCTATTTAAAAAATAGACATTTAAGAGATTAATGACACAAAAGATATAACTCCCGAAAAATAAAAGGAGCGCGGCTGAACAAGTTCGGAGAAAAGTTGGTATCGCTGGAACAAACAGGTGGACACTTAAAAAGTGAATGCATAGTAGCGGTACATTGCCCGTCTTGGTATAGGTTATACCGTAAATTATCAAGCCATTAATTCCAAATAAACGGAAAAGAACATTCACCACGCTACTTTCACTATCGGTTCACAGCAGCAGCAACAGAGAGAACAGTGGAATAGTTGATGAATAGGTTGGAGAATAGCATTTTAATGCTGACAGCGCGCGCGAGAGCAAAAAAAAAAAAAAAAAAAAATTTTAATTAAAAAGGAAACCCTCTCTTCCTTTGTCGCAGTGCAGAGCCCATGTATTTGCATGATTCGCAAAAACATCGAGACGAAAGCACGACGCGGCGATGTACCCGTTCATGAACATTTGCGCGAATTCGCGAAGCCGCCGTTTCCGATTGGATTACAAAGTGCGGGATTTTACATATGCGATTTTGCGAAAAAAAAAAAAAAATTTATATGAAACACGGCTGGAAAAGTATCTCATGATTATTACCATAAAGGTGAAGCTTTATAGTGACTAACGCGGTCCCTGGATAGTATCAACATTTTAGAGAAAACACCTCCATCATTTTCTAAGTCTTTAAAATTCTTATCTAATTTTACAATAAGTATTATACAAAATGTTTGTTGTAATTAAAAAACTAATAAATATAATTTGTAATAATGATTCCACCTTCTTTTCCATAATCTCCCATATAATTGAACTAAATAAATACATCCATAAAATCCGATTTATATACTAATGGCGTAAGATTTTTTAAACTACTGTTGCGCGTGAGAAAACTTAACGTAAAACATAACAAGGCTTTGTTTCAAAAATTTTACCACTAAACGAAACGATACATCCATCTAGAGAGAAGAGAGAGACATTACGCGTTACAACCTCCGACCTACATAAAGAATGCCACGCTGGACTCGTTACAGGTGAATGCACTCGGCGTGGAACACGCGGTAAATTGCGAGTGCACACGAAGGAAATACAAATATCTGCAAAGGAACGAGATATATCGATTACTTGGAAGGTATTCCCGCTAAGTTTTGTATTTTGTAATCGCAATTATTGGACGTCGCGGACGGCGACGTATTTGGTGCGAGGATGTAAAGAAAATCGGCGCTGATGCGCATCAAACTAATTGTAAGAAATGCATAACAAGTATGTGAAGGCGGTTTTTCCACAAGTGTGGTGGGGAGAAAACCGCAGTCAAGGAAAAAGTAGGATAAATGTATCCACATAAGCGGCGTGACTTTCCTCTTTTAACCCTCACACTGAATCCCAATAAGTATCTTCAAATTATGCTTCAAATATGAAACTTAAATCGTTGCTGAAATATTTTGCATTCGATTCACACTATTACCATTGACTTGTGGTAAGTTTTTTTTCCAGCTATTCATCAGAATTGTAAGTAAGAAAACTCAAATTCCCAATATGAAGAGGCGCAAACAAGAAGAAAGGGTTCTTTGTATGCGATAACGAGGACTTTTATTATTCCGCTAAAAAAAATTTAAATTTCAGATAGTTTCTATCACCATACAACAAAGAGCACGTGTTGAGCTGACAACCGCGTTCTATTGTTGGTTTTTTATCGATATACGAATGAATACAAAAAAATCCAAAGTCGACTAAATTATCTGTGTAGAACCGAATCTCTTCTCAAATGAGAAGCGACGCAAAAAGCAAAAACACTATATGGTGGAATAAGAATCTTGCTAGCGGCAACTGAATCCTAAACCGTGGTGGTTCCAGCCCCACCACGTTTAACACGCTGCGAATTCCACGAATCGTATTCCATCGCTTTCGATTCCAGGCATCGTTGGACCAACGACACATCTCGTTCAGCTCCTCTTAACTGTATCTACGTTGAAGGATGAAAACACATCCGGTGTGCGTTTAAGGTCAACGTACGCGCTTACATGTGGCCATAACATCCGAGGCCCCGAGGAAGAGTCTCTTAACTGTGAAGGATGAAAACACATCCGGTGTGCGTTTAAGGTCAACGTACGCGCTTACATGTGGCCATAACATCCGAGGCCCCGAGGGCCCCGAGG